GAATCACAGCTCTGACTCCAAATGACTAAATTTCTCAATCAGAAAAAATAGAAGCTTTCTAAGCAACTTGGAAGAAAACAGTCATAAGTAAGCAATTTGTTGATTTTACTACAGAAGCAACAACTGAAGAGGCAATGTTTTTACTTTTCGGCTCCAGGATTCCCATATTGTAGTCTCTCTACTTTTAAAAACCCTCCTTTTGCAATAGATGCCCAACCAGATGATGTTTATTACTTCTTCTTTGGCCTCAAACAGTGTAGGTATTCTTGATATAATTTGTAGAATGTGAAATGTAAGTTTAACTACCAAATAAGGTCTCCCAGGGTTAGAGTACGGCAGGAAGCCTTTAATCCCAACCCCCAAGGCTTTGTATATTTGATCATTTGTGATCTAACCCTGAAAGAAAAAGAGCTCAGAAACCACTATGAAAAGATTTGTTCAGTGTTTTCTGTGATTACCAGGTTCTGGAGTCTAAGAATGTAAAGATGAATCAGATAAATTCTCAGAATGTAGTTAATAATCTCTTGTTTTCTGGTATGTGCCATCTTTCTTTAACTTCTCTAAAATATTGGATATTTGTCAATAACCACTTTTAACAGTTACCTTTACTGAGGGCTTATACATTGATGTTATGAAAGTGACTTGATTCAGAAGCCAATCCATTCAGTAAAGTACTCATTTTTCTCTAAATTTGCTGTTAGACATAAGGAACGGTTTGACCTGCCCTTCTCCTCACCTCCAAGGGTATTCTGAACATTGAATTTGGAAAGAGACCTGCAAATTGTACATTTGGTTTTGCCCTTGGGATGGAAACTATCATATAATCATTAGTTTGAGCCTAGAAGTGATCCTTGTGATCCTCTCACCTCTTTAAATTCCCACAACACAGGAGATTAAAACCAGAGGTTTCAGCTCTTCATAGTGCTTTCTGAAATTGCTGGCCAGAGTGTACCAACAAGGCTGTCATTGGGCTCAGAGCTCAGAGTCATCTGCATGTGATCATCTCCACAGTCCTCTCCTCTAACGGGAAACACCTCAGATTTGCATATAAAAAAGCACCCTGGTGCTGAAATGAACCCCTTTCTTGAACATCAAAGCTGTCTCCCACAGCCTTGGGCAGCAGGGTGCCTCTTAGTGGATGCTGGGTCCACCCTGGGCCCCGACATGTGGTGGCAGCATTTCCAGCTGGTCTGCGTAGCAGGGACGATTTCCCAGAAAGCAGTTTTCCTTTTGAAATACGTAATTGTTGAAACGAGGCAGTTTCAAAATCAACTGCATATAGTAGCACGTACAGGATTGTCTTGTTCATGGTGCCCTTGGAGGTGCTGGGATGAGGGTTTCAGCGGGATCATTTGCTCTCACATGTTGTCTGGCTTCTGCTTCTCTGGACACTGCTTTGCACTTAATTCAGACAGACTGTGAATACACCTTTTTTATAAATACCTTTCAAATTCTTGGTAAGATATAATTTTGATAGCTGATTGCAGATTTTCTGTATTTGTCAGATCAATAAAGACCGCATGAATCCAGCTGTGCTAGTTTTCTTACATGAAAGTATCATAATGTATAACTGTAACTCGGAGAACTGTCTAGCACTTACCAAGAAACAGTTTAGAATACAAAAATTAGCTGGGCATGGTGGCGGGCACCTGTAGTCCCAGTTACTCGAGAGACTGAGGCACGAGAATCGCTTGAACCCGGGAGGCAGAGGTTGCAGTGAGCCGAGATCTCACCACTGCACTCCAGCCTGGGCGACAGAGCGAGACTCTGTCTCAAAAAAAAAAAAAAAAAAATAGAAACAAATGCATTGTTTCTGTTCTTAACTCATAAGAAAGTGGTATGGATTATAGCATGCCACACCTCTGAAGAGTGCAATATTAAACCTGTTTATAAAAACCTCAAAGCAGCTGTCCCTTACATTCTGAAAGATACTTTTTCTAACAACTTTCACACTCATGTAAATATGTCAGAACAAACTATAAACTTACAAGACATGTATGTTGTACAATGCAGATATGTGTGGGAGGATTATTTTTTAAAGAAATTATGTAGGTCACACTAATGAGAAAAAGCAGCATTACTTTTATTGACTTGGTAGAGCATAGAATGTCCTCTCCATCCCCAAACTTGATAAAACCTTTTGTTTCTAAACAGTAAGTAACATAGAATGTTGGAAATGATCAGAAATGTGTTTATGGCAGAAAAGCCACAGTTGGCCATGGTCTTCAGAAGGGGCAGATAAGAGATTGATGTGTTCCCGGCTACGTCTGCTAAGGGCCTCAGGAAGCAGGAAATGTTTATTCCCTCCTTTGAGAATTGGAGGCATCATTCGTTTTCATGGGTCTTTTAGGCAGTGTCTGTGGAGACTCCTACAGAGGCATCAGGACTTGGGGGAGGTTTCTGATTTTTAGGGGCCCAGACAGTGGTGTTTTTGATGAGAATGAGGAGGGACTTTGAGCAGGGTTGAGAAGCGAGGATAACAAGGCTGGGTTTCCTGTGTCTCTGGGTAAGTTCCGTAGCTTTCCGTCAGCCATGCCACACCTTCTCCCTGGAGACCCTTCTGTGTGCGGTGTGGAGAGCAGCTTAGGATCCGGTTAAAAGTGAAATGACAGCATACTCGAGTACAACGAGTGTAATGTTGACTTGTCATTCGAGTAAGAATGCAGAGTAAAGGAGAGATCCACAAAAGCAGGGGTTTAAAATCAGAAATTTCTCAGAAGGTTTTTTGTTGTTTTGGAGACAAGGTCTGGCTCTGTTGCCCAGGTTGGAGTGTAGTAGCATGATCATGGCTCACTGCATTGTTGAACTCCTGGGTTCAAATGATCCCCCAACTTCAGCCTCCTGAGTAGCTGGAACTACAGGTGTACACCTCCATGCCTGGCTAGTTATTTTTTATTTTGTGTAGAGACTGGGTCTTGCTTTGTTGTCCAGGCTGGTCTTGAACTGCTGGGCTCGAGTGATCCTCTCAGCTCAGCGTCTCCAAGTGCTGAGATTATAAGAGTGAGCCACTGTGCCAGGCCAGAAATAAAGTTTTGAACTGAGTTTGGAAAGAGGGGAAAAGCCTGAATTGGCCAAGAAGGCAAAGGACATATACTGTACTAAAAATCAGGAAGACAGAAGTATTTGGGAGACACCTATGGATAATCGGTTTTTGAATAAAGGTGATGATTTATTCAGAGGAAAATTCAGTTAGCTAACCAAATCTGTTTTCATATTTACTTAGAATATATCTCCTTCAGCACATGACTTGTGGCGACCTAGAGGATGATGACCTAATCTACCACAGGGGTCTTTCAACATGTAAAGTGTCCCATGCTTGGAGAAGGTTGACTTGCTCACATGGACTGTCCTCTGCCTGGTATGCCACGCCCTTCAAAGGGAGAGACAGGAAAAGCCTCAAGAACCAGATTTGTTTCAAGTCCTAATTGTTGGCAGAAAGGGAGACATGCTCTTGCTGCCTCTGTTTCTTCTACCTTTTTTTTTTTTTTTTTTGAGATGGAGTCTTGCTCTGTTGCTCAGGCTGGAGTGCTGCGATCTCGGCTCACTGCAGCCTCTGCCTCTTGGGTTCCAGCAATTCTCCTGCCTCAGCCTTCTGGGTAGCTGGGATTACACCGCGCCCTGCTAATGTTTTTTGTTTTTTGTTTTTTTTTAATGTATTTTTAGTAGAGATGGGGTTTCACCATGTTGGCCAGACTGGTCTCGAACTCCTGACCTTAGGTGATCTGCCTGCCTCGGCCTCTCAAAGTGCTGGGATTACAGGCATGAGCCACCATGCCTGGCCTGCTTTTTTTTTTTTTTTTTTTTTAATAGCATAGGATTTGATATAGACTATACATAACCCAAGGTCAATTTCTCGTGCATAAGAGGAAAGGATTTTCTTATCCTTATGGAGTAAACCTATAGCATACCTCAAGGTGGACCTGTAGGCGAAAGTCTGATTGTGAGTTGTTTTCTCGATAGTAGACTAAACTTAAGGATAGAGGTACATGTATGATGTAAAGGGGAAACAAGACTTGGAGCTAGATAAACATGATGCCACATTTAAATACCTGAATTTGAGAGAGTGCTTTCAGGGCTAGTGGGTCTCCATACAGGGATGGAGAGATAGTGGTCTTTCAAATGCTTAATGAGAAACTGAGGAGAGAAATTTGGAACGTTATCTTGCATTCAGGTTTTCAAAAATGTTGTCCTATGACTTACTAGGTAACAACTGGTTTTTCTGTTTACTAATCAGATTTACCCACATATGTCATAAAATAGTATTAAACTTGTTTAGTGAGATAACTGAGTTTTAATTTACGTGGGCTAGATGTATGATTTATAAATGTATAATTGATGTATAGTTTATAAATTTATACATGAATATGAGAGTTCTTCAGATTTTCTGAAATGTCAAAAATGGCTTCCATGCCTCCTCCTCCCTCAGGGGACATCTGCTCGGGAGGCCTTGTTTTGGTTTCTCCTAACCAGCTTTCCTTTCCCCCAGCTCCCAGTTCAGGGATCTTCTCTATGATCACCCAGCTCCAAGGTCATCTAGTTTAAAATGTCACCAGGCTTGAGGACTGGAACATCCCAGCAGAAGGGGAGGGGCTTTTTATCCTGGGGAACCTGCACAGGGCCAAGCACAGTCTGAGGCCATGCTTGGTTGCAAAGGTGTCTGCCGTCACTTCGGTTTATTTCATATCTGCCCCCTAGGCCGGGGCTGGGAGAGCTGAGCCAGTGCTTCACATTTTTGTTTGTTTGTTTATTTATTTTTATTTTTATGGGTTTTTTTTTTCCGAGATGGAGTCTCCTTCTGTCATCCAGGCTGGAGTGCAATGGCGTGAACTCGGCTCACTGCAACCTCTGCCCCCTGGGCTCAAGTGATTCTCCTGCCTCAGCATCCTGAGTAGCTGAGATTACAGGCGCCCGCCAGCACACCCAGCTAATTTTTGTAGTAGAGACGAGGTTTCGCCATGTTGGCCAGGCTGGTCTTGAACTCCTGACCTCAGGTGATCTGCCCGCCTCGGCCTCCCAAAGTGCTGGGATTACAGGCGTGAGCCACTGTGCCTGGCCAGTGTATCACGTTTTGTAAATGTGGCTTCTCTGGCTCTCAGGTAACTTCTGTGGGCATCCAGAAATTAATTCCAGGATGTTTTAGATCCTTCGGCCTCTGTCAGACCTGAAAGTAAGCCAGCCTGCCTGGGTTAATGTGCTGTTGATGGCACAGGCCGTTTGCACTGGCGATGTAGGGTGCTGCCCACTGAGCCAGGGTGCCCCATTGTGTCAGATGGGCCCATGGCGACGGAGCCAGAGCAGCCCACATGAGGGAGGAGACAGGGACCTGGCTTCTCTGCCTGTCCACACCTGGCAGGTCGTCCTTTGGGGACTCTGTTTTCTCAACTGTCAAGGACCAGAATTCCCTCTTTCCCCTCTTGCGCTATGGATAAAGGCATAGACATGTTACAAGTGATTATGTAACTTTTCTCATTAAAGATATGTAATAACACGGTTCCCCAAGATGCTCCAAGTATTTGGTAATTATTGCATGAATTGATTTTTGTTTTTAAGTCAAAACATACTTTGGTAAACATTCCTGTGAAGGGAGGCCCATTCCAAGTCTGAGACAGAGTTGGAGTGCCACCAAGACCCTGCCTGGGGCCCCGCTGCTCTGCCAGCCAACTGATGGGCTCCTTTACCCTATCTCTTCCTGGCAGTGCTCCATGGCGGTGAGGAAGAGGGTGAGGCCTCGCCACCCCGCGGAGGGCCCCCTGGCCCGCCCCAGTGCTGGAGACAAGTCTGGCCCCATCTCCCCACTGGGAGCTTGGCCAACCCAGATGTTCCCGCAGCCCCTCCCTCCACTCCTCGCTCCCTGGACAGGGCCCATCTCCAGCGCATTTTCCTCACTCCAAGCTCCTTACTTGCCAGATTGCTTTGCCCGAGGATTCCGTCCCAGGCTGGGAGGGGCTGGGGGACCCGATTCTCTCATTTCCCTGTGGTTTGGCATTCCCGAGCCTTCCCTTGCCTCTGTTGCTTTCAGAGCGAGCCCCGCCGTTGTCTGCAGACTCTGGCTCCCTGGACAGGCAAAGGGAAATGCCTGGGTCACCCTGATGCCTCTGAGCCTGGTAACGGGAGCTAATGATGGCAAATACAGACCGAGGGGCCACCTTGCCGCTGCCCGACCCTCCAGGGAACTTGAGCGCCGTCCCATTTCTGAAACTCCTGGCGGTTGCTCAATAAATGGTGAGTCAATGAAGGAGTGTAGGGGTGGCTGCGGGGTCCACCGGAGGGGATTTCCGTGCAGAATGATGTCCGTGCAGAATGATGTGTGGGAATTGTTGTGAGAACAAACATTAACCAGCTTTTGCCCCTATTTACAAGGTTGTGCTATTAAGTGCGGAGCCGAAGTCAGCCAGCCTCATCCCCTCAGGAGACCTGAATTTATAAATGGTGGTCAGGATGAATCCAAACAGGATTCCTCCCCCACAATGTATGGGTTTGTCCTGGGTCAATGCCACCACATGGGATGCAGGGGAGATAAAGAGTAGTGCGGTTGTTAATACCCCGCATTTAACCAAGAAAAGCCCCAGAGGAAGGTACTGCCTCATAAAACCAATGTCCCTTGAGCGTGTCCCTTAATATGCCACAGACACTATGCCAAGCCCATCACAGGCATTGTCTCCTGTCCTCACCCCACCCTATGGGTAGGGCCTGTTAGCCCCATTTTACAGAGGAGGAGGAGGAGCGCTCCCAGCATCTCTGCCCGCGGGTAAGTGGGAGAGGCTGCGCCCCCAGCACTGTCCAGGACAGGGGGGCACTGGACCTGTTTCTGTGGAACCGAATCTTCGTCTCAGTGGGCCTTGGGAATGCAGTCTGACAACCTCTCTCAACTTTCTCACTAAAGCTGCTCAAGTGACAGAGAACAGAAACACTGAGGGGTGTGGACACAGTCCAAGGTGGCAGCCTCAGGTGGAGAGTTCTCTGGAGTTTTACCAAAACCAAAAGTTTTCTTCTGTTCATTCTTCTGTGACCGGCTTATTTCACTTAGTGTAAAGTCCTTGAGGTTCATGCGTATTGTTGTAGACGTGTTTTAGTGTTTTTTAAAAAAAAAAAAAAAAAAGGCCGGGCGCGGTGGCTCAAGCCTGTAATCCCAGCACTTTGGGAGGCTGAGACGGGCGGATCACAAGGTCAGGAGATCGAGACCATCCTGGCTAACACAGTGAAACCCCGTCTCTACCAAAAAACACAAAAAACTAGCTGGGTGAGGTGGCGGGCGCCTGTAGTTCCAGCTACTCGGGAGGCTGAGGCAGGAGAATGGCGTAAACCCGGGAGGCGGAGCTTACAGTGAGCTGAGATCTGGCCACTGCACTCCAGCCTGGGTGACAGAGTGAGACTCTGTCTCAAAAAAAAAAATAAATAAATAAATAGAAAACATTATCCAGGCGTGGTGGTGGGCACCTGTAGTCCCAGCTACTCTGGAGGCTGAGGCAGGAGAATGGCATGAGCCCGGGAGGTGGAGCTTGCAATGAGCCTAGATTAAAAAAAAAAAAAACAAAAAAAACGGCTGGGCACGGTGGCTCACGCTTGTAATCCCAGCACTTTGGGAGGCCAAGGCGGGCAGATCACCTGAGGTCAGGAGTTCGAGACCAGCCTAGCGAACATGGTGAAACCCCGTCTGTACTAAAAGTACAAAAATTAGCTGGGCATGGTGGCGGGCACCTGTAATCCCAGCTACTCAGGAGGCTGAGGCAGGAGAATCACTTGAACCTGGGAGGTGGAGGTTGCAGTGAGCCAAGATCGTGCCACTGCATTCCAGCCTGGGCAATAAGAGCAAGACTCCATCTCAAAAAAGAAATAATAATAAACCATCACCAAAAATATTTGACACCACCATACACACTCCTTATCTTAAAGTTGATGTTCCCAGGAGCTGTGTCTTATTTATTCAGTGTCTTCCTGTGATCCTAAAGTCACAAGCCCTGGTGCGAGAGACACTGACCAGCCAGGCCTCAGCTCCCAGCTCTGGCCAAGCAGGATAGCCCATCAGTCTGCCTTTCAGTGCCGGTGCTGCCTGGAGGCCTGTGCTGGAGGCCCTGGTGGACACGGGTGTGTGCCGCTCCCCTTTGGAGAGTATGCCACCTCCAGCTTTCTGCTGCCTCACTTTGTTCTCAGAGTTAGGGGTGGTGGATTCCTGGGAATTTTCAGTTTTTGTATTTGTTTTTATTTACATCGATCTATTGTCTTTTAAAAATGAGAAAACTGCCATGCAGGAAGGTTGGCTTGCCTGAGATGTTACAGCCAATGAGTGGCAGACCCAAGACTGCCCAGGCTTCATGCCTCCCTATTCCCTGCCCCCAAGCTTGGGCCACATGCATGGCACCACCAGGCCGTGATTGCAGTAGGCCACCCCGCCCACCACATCACGCAAATGCTGCTCATCTGAATCCCATCTGCTCTGCGTTATATTGTGTTTAATGTACAAAATTTACAAAGCTCTGAAAACTGAAAGGTTTCTTATAAATTTGTCCATAACACCTGACTGAACTGCTGCGAGGCCATTTAGAGTCTTGATTTATGCCCTTTAGGAGGACATTTGTGTTTTGCAGCAGAGCTATGAGTGTGTATGTGTGGTTGTTTTGCTCGTTGATTTGGATTAAAGAGGGCTTGTGGCTGGGCGCGGTGGCTCACGCCTGTAATCCCAGCACTTTGGGAGGCTAAGGTGGGTGGATCACCAGGTCAGGAGATTGAGACCATCCTGGCTAATATGGTGAAATCCCGTCTCTACTAAAAATACAAAATAATTAGCCAGGTGTGGTGGCATGCGCCTATAGTCCCAGCTACTCGGGAGGCTAAGGCAGGAGAATCGCTTGAACCCAGGAGGTGGAGGTTGCAGTGAGCCAAGATCACACCATTGTACTCCAGACTGGGCAACAGAGCAAAACTCCATCTCAAAAAACAAAACAAAACAAAACAAAAGAGAGAGAGCTTCTGGCCAAGCACAGTGGCTCGTGCCTGTAATCCCAGAACTTTGGGAGGCCAAGGTGGGCAGATCACCTGAGGTCAGGAGTTCGAGACCAGCCTGGCCAACATGGTGCAACCCTGTCTCTACTAAAAATACAAAAATTAGCTGAGCATGGTGACGTGTGTTTGTAATCCCAGCTACTGGGGAGGCTGAGGCGGGAGAATCGCTTGAACCCAGGAGGCAGAAGTTGCAGTGAGCCAAGATCGTGAAAAGAGGGCTTCCAACCTGCTGGGAGTATTATATAATATGCAGTTTAGTAACTGCTAAAACCTGGAAAATTCTCAATTCTGAAACACGTTTGGCCCCAAGAGTTTCTGATAAGGGATCGGGACCTAGATATATAGAATTACAGTGATATGAAAGCTGTAAAAATAAAGAGCTTAGACCCAGTTTTGTGTCTGTACATCTTTCTGTGGCATTATACTATAAAGCAGGGGTCTAGGATAACAGGTCCCCACAGAAATGAGAGCTAGAGAAGCACTGCAAAAAAAAAAAAAAAAAGAAAAAAGTTATTTCCCCTCCCTTCAGCTTCAGGGAAGTCTTGTTTTCGGATTACGAGGTGCTGGCCCACTGACCTCTGGGTTGTTTCCAGGTCTTTGGCCCGAGACACAGGCTGTCTCTCAGTGTCTGGGCTGAGAACCATTCAGGTACAGAGGCTGAAGCCACAGGGTAGATGAGAAGTGCCCCCAGGAGCATGGTGGAGGGCGAGACCAAGAGGAAAGGATCTAAACGGCTTTGACTGCTGGCCTCTGGGGCTACTAATCCAGGGCCCCTCTCCATGACAGCCCCCCGGGGACAGCACCAGGGACCACGGAGCCTGGCTCACAGGATCCGTCACAAGAGAAAAGGGACTTGCTGCCCTCTGCAACCATCCATGGGGCCACCACACGGCCACAGGACACCAGGCTTGCCTGGGAGGCTGGGGTGCCCACCTGGAGCTTCGAGGCCTGGCGCACCCTCCAGGCCTGTGCTCTTGAGCGGGCTCCACGCCTTACACCGACCTTTGTGGGGTCTGGGCCAGGAGCTGCTCTCCTCTTTGGGAAGTGAGGGTGGGTTCCTCACAGCAGCTCCCTTAATGTCTCAACCAGCTTCTCCAAAGGAGGCCGTGGTTGGGGTCCCTGTGGTCAGAGTTTGTGTTCCCCTGTGGGCAGAGGGGACGAGAGCTGTGCCCGCTGGAGCTGCTGGTTGGGATCTAGTCAGAATCAGCATTGGAAAGCCCCTTCCTTTCCCACTGTCTTTGCTCTCCTTCCCCAGGCGCTGTCCTGCCTCCACACAGCCTCTCCCACATCCCGGTGCCCTTTCCAGGATCCGAGTCAGCGTGGGCCCGATGTCACTGAGGAAACATCCCAGGAATTCCTGTTCTTTCCCTCTGGATGGCCCTCTTGTCTGCGGGAAGGGTGGGAGGAGCTATTGTGTATTTCTGCCTCAGCTTTAAGGGTAAAACTCCCCTCCAAAGGCCAGGTGGCTTCTCTCCTGACAGCCACTTGTCAGACACACTGAGCCCTGGATTCCCACTCCGGTGGTCTGGCATGGTGCTTCAAAGAGCTGACTTGGATATGGCAACGTGATGGGGAAAGGAAGGTTGAGGTGGCATCTAGAAGCACAGCACGGAGTGGAGTTTTGACCCTCGCCTTCCCGCTGTTCCCAGCATTTGAATGACTGTATTAAGGGAAGTGAATATATGTATTGGGGGGCGGGGAGAAGTTAGAGAAATAAACGCAGACAGCCTCAGATGTGGAGTGTGTTGTCTTTTTTCCTTTTGGATTCCTAGTGGGCTGTGGCATCGGTTCTATGACTTTTATAGTAAAAATGTTTGAATACTCTGATTGTAAAATTCAGTTTAATCTAAACTGACACACACAGCACTAGAATGCAAGTCCCCACTAGACTGTAAATTCCCTGAGAGCAGACCTAGTATGCTGGAGCCCACGCCTGGGAGAGGTGATTGCATCTCTTCCCAACTCCACGTCTTGGTAGCTTGAAAATAGCCATGGTGGGAGCACCTACACCAAACACTGTGAGAAGGAATCCACCTGCAGAGCAGTGCTGCCTCCTGCAGCGAGCTGAAGCGTAAATGGTTGCCACCACTGGACAAGTCTCTCTCAGCTTCTAGCACGGCGTAGGCACTCAGATATTTGGATGAACAACCTCCAAATGAAGGAAGAGGGAAGCAACATCCTCTAAATTCAGTTCAATGGGAGTTCAACAAATACCCTGTCCTGGTGGACATGCGTTTTCTGGGGCAGCTGCCATCTGAACTTCCACCTGGGGACCCTGCCAATTCTTGTTTCTCAGGTCCTGGCCATCAGGGTACAGGCATGTTCCTGTGGGGGGTGAGTCTACGAGGACCCTTCAGGGTTTCTTCTAGGGATGGCATGTGTCAGCATTGCCTAAAAGTGGTGGTGACACGAGTTTGGCGTGCAGCCAAAGGGCAACATAGATCCTGACTGGAACTGCTCCTGGACCACAACTAGGACATTGTCAGGGGTTCGGCCCATGCCCGTGCCTGATTCTTCAGCCCTCCTTTCAATCTGCAATCTTCCAGCGCCCCTCCTCTAAGCAACTCTCCTGATTAAGCTGACTCAGTCTTTTTGTGTGGTGTGCAACCAAGAACCCCGAGGGTTGGTTCAGGCCCTCTGAGGCCGAGGCCGAGATGGGACTCCATGTGTGAGAGATCTACAGGGGAGCGTCTGTGAAGTTAAACTGCGGGGAGGAGGAGGTGCAGGGGGAGCCTTCAGAATGTGGTGTGGGGCTGAGTGCAGCCACTGGAGGCTGGTCACCAGCTACATTTCTCATAGCCCCTCTCCTGAGGCAAACCTTCAGGCCCGCCACGAACCTCTGGTACAGGGTATAACATGAAAATGGATCTCTGCCCTTGCAATGTTCACAATTATGAGAGAGAAAGAGAAACAACTGTATCACTGCAGTAGTTTGAAAGTGCTAGGGCAGGCCGGGCGCAGTGGCTCAAGCCTATAATCCCAGCACTTTGGGAGGCCGAGACGGGTGGATCACGAGGTCAGGAGATCAAGACCATCCTGGCTGACACGGTGAAACCCCGTCTCTACTAAAAAATACAAAAAAAAAAAAACTAGCCGGGCGAGGTGGCGGGCGCCTGTAGTCCCAGCTACTCGGGAGGCTGAGGCAGGAGAATGGCGTAAACCCGGGAGGCGGAGCTTGCAGTGAGCTGAGATCCGGCCACTGCACTCCAGCCTGGGAGATAGAGCGAGACTCCGTCTCAAAAAAAAAAAAAAAGAAAGAAAGTGCTAGGGCAAAGCCCGGCACCAGTGGGAGCACAGAGGCAGATGTACAGGGAGGCTTCCTGGAGGAGGTGAATCCTGGGAGCCTGGAGGCTCTTGGCATTTTGCCCTCTTTCTTCTCTCCAGCCTTCCATCCCAACCCAACCACACAAAGAGATCTGGCCACTTCTTTCTTAGCCTCATCCTTAGATCTGCAATCTGCAGAGATGATGAAAATGTAGAGAACTGAGGATACACATAGGGGAAGCGTGGGACAGAGAAATTTAACAAAAAATTTTTTAGAGACAGGGTCTCCCTCTGCTGCCCAGGCTGGAGTTCAGTGATGCAATCATAGCTCACTGCAGCCTCGACATCCCAGGCTCAATTGATCCTTCTGCCTCAGCCTCCCAAGTAGCTTGGCCAGCATTCCCCAACCTTTTTGGCACCAGGGACCAGTTTTATGGTAGATAATTTTTTCAGATCTGGGGGCGGGGTGGGATGGTTTCAGGATGAAACTGTTACAGTCTAAAGCCTCATTCTGTTCAGATCATCAGGCATTAGATTCTCATAAGGAGCACACAAACTAGAAGCCTTGCATGAGTAGGTCACAATAGGGTTCATGCCCCTGTGGAAAATCTAATGCTGCCACTGATCTGACAGGAGGCGGAGCTCAGGCGGTAATGCTTGCTCACCTCCTGCTGTGTGCCCGTTCCTAACAGGCCATGGACAGGTACCCGTCCGCGGCCTGGGGATTGGTGACCCCTAGCTTGGACTGCAGGCAACTGCCACCATATACCTGGCTAATTAAAAAAACGTTGTAGAGATGGGGGGTCTCACTGTGTTGCCCTGGCTAGTTATGAACTCCTGGACTTAAGCAATCCTCCCTCCTCAGCCTCTCAAAGTGTTAGGATTCCAGGCATGAGCCACTGCGCCCAGATCAGAACTTTTATTCAGCATCTAGTAGGAATTTTATGGAAGTAGGAAGTTCCCCACTCCACCACCTGCTGTATGAGTCTCAAGTGAGCAAGTTGTGGCTTAAGGAGGTGACCTGACCTGCCCAAGTGCACATACAATGAGAAGCAGAGCAGCCTTCCAGTGCAGGTCTGCCTCCGCCCCAGGCTTCCCCAAACCCCCAAGGCAAGGGGGTCTCAGGTGCAGCCAGTGAGTGGCACAGGGCCAGTGCAGAGGGGACTTGACAATGGGAAGGAAGGTCTTACACTTTTTCCTGGACTATTCTTTCTAAACCACCCTATTGTAATGCATCAGTTCTGTTCACCACATCTCTGTGAGGTAGGCAGAGGAGAAATGAGGCTTAAAGAGAAATTCCCGCCCAAGCCAGTAATTGGTAGGGCCTGGCTGGTGGGTCTAAGACAGTCCCTTACCACTGCGTGTGGGTTCTGCCTCCCAACCTCAGGGTCCTCTTTGCAGCTGGGGTGAGGTGTAAGTAATCACAGCCCTGGGTGTCTGAGAAGAAAGGATCATAGGAAAAGCAGGGACACAGCAGGAAAGTGAGCTCCTTGGGCCTCAGATTCCCCCACCCTGCAGCGGGAGAAGCATTTTCCTCCCACTTGACAGAGGACCTTTGACCAAGCTCAGAAAAGTCCCAGCTGGTGGGGGCAGGGAGCCGGGCTTGTTGAATGGAAGAAGTGCTTTTCCTTTTTAGAGAGGCTGCGTGATTCCACTCCCCTTTCTCTGCCAAGCTTTATCTTTGCTTAAGAATTCACACAACCCTCCAGGGGCCCTGCTACAGCTGCTGCTCCTCCTGTCTTCATTGATAGGTAAGAAATGTGCCTGATTTAAACTGGCCATGTTTTAATAAGCATTTTGTCCAAACAGGGAGCTGCAGGAATCGGGGGGCTGAAGCGGGGCTGAGCTTCCCACTGGTGACTTCTCTTTGCCCAAATGAGGCCAAGGGAGAAGCGGCAGGGCCAGCAAGGGGCTGAAGGCAGGAGAGCGTGGGGAAGGGGATCAGCCTTCGCCACCCCACCTCAACCTCTCCCCAACTTCCCCCAACCTCCCTCCTGCCCAGGACCAGTTTCTAAAGATGAGTGAATTCCAGTTTCAAAAAAGGAATGGCAGGCAAAGAGTGTCTTGGTTGTGAAAAAGGACAACCAGGAAAACAAATTAAGTTGATCACATGTTGAGCCCCTGCCTTGATGCTAATGAGTGCCCTGGCACAGGCGGTCGGGCTGCGTGGCAGGCCCTGACCTCCGGGATTCACAGCTGAGCAAACCACAGCAACAGGGACAGAAACCAAGGGGGCAGGACATGCACCCCATCGGCCTGGTGTGGTGTGGAGATGGCTTCGAAAGCAGGTGACATGCTGGGCACAGTGGCACTTTGAGAGGCCACGGTGGGAAGACTGCTTGAGCTCAGGAGTTCGAGACCAGGTTGGGCAAAATGGCGAGACCTGTTTCTATTTAAAAAAAGAAGGCGGCTGGGCGCGATGGCTGACGTCTGTAATCCCAGCACTTTGGGAGGCTGAGGTGCGCGGATCACCTGAAGTCAGGAGTTGGAGACCAGTCTGGCCAACATAGTGAAACCCTATCTCTACTGAAAATACAAAAATATTCGCCAGGCGTGGTGGCGGGCGACTGTAGTCCCAGCTGCTCAGGAGGCTGAGGCTGAACTCAGGAGGCGGAGCTTGCAGTGAGCCCAGATAGCACCACTGCACTCCAGCCTGGGCGACAGAGCGAGACTCCGTCTCAAAAAAAAAAAAAAAAAAAAGAAAAGAAAAGAAAGGGAGGGAGGAAAGTAGAAAGAAAAGAGGAAGGAAGTGAGGGAGGGAAAGAAAGAAGAAAGGAAGGAAAGGGACATTTGACCAAGGTTTTGAGGGCTGAGTAGGGGTTTGAGAGGTAGAGGGGCTTGGGAGGGTGCATGCTGAGTGAGAAAAGGTGCTGGGAGATGGGTAACAGCAGTGTGTGTGGAGAAACTCAGTTGTGGCTGAAGAATAGGGTCCAGGGGTGGAGGAGAAGGAAAGTGGCTGGACACAGAGGTGTGTTGTGTGTAGGGTCGGCATGAAGAGGAGCGGATAGGGCAAAGCTAGAAGGGTCGGGCAAGGGGAAATGGGATTGGAGAGGCGACTGGCGCTGACCCAAGACAGGACAGATAGGGTGACCAGAGTGGAGGATTAGCCAAGCCTTGGCACAGACCCAAGCGTGTGGAGGCCCCGGGCAACACCAGTCACCACGAGGGCCTCTCCCAAGGGCTCTGTCCTCCCACGGGGATTGGAGGTGGGTAAGGGAGACCGGGCGGGGTGGAGGATGAGGCCAGGCAGCGGCGGAGAGAGAAAGTCCCACCCCTGCGGGCGTTCCTTGCCGGCCGGCCGACCTCGCAGGCTTGGGCCTGGGCGGGCACCGACGGAGCGGCCCTGGGTGCAGCCTCCCGGCGCCCGCGAAGACAGGTAGGGAGGCGGAGGGACTGGAAGCCCGCGGGCGACCAGAGGCGGGGGCGGCGCACCCCGGGGCTTCTGTAGGAATTTGCTTGCCTGGCTCACG